TAGCCTCCTCTCTCACATATCTCCTTACTGAAACCCCAGGTTAATGTTTTTCATAATATCAATTCAGTGAAATATTAATTAGTGTTGTGATAAAACGGTTAAGAAATAAAATAAGTGCCCTTTATTTTCGCTTCATGAGGTGTATAACGCTGTAGATATACATTGGCCTGTCAAACGTTCCACATACGTTTGCCGCGCATTCCGCTTTTAATATGGGAGAGAGGATATGGAGGAGAGGTTAAAATAAAATTAATAGGATGATATGCTGAATGACAATGTTTACTCATTTTTAACTATTGAATGAAATTTATCATGTAATAGAAAACAGTCAGGGATCAAGCTTTTATTGTGCGTTACCGGAATTTTTACTATGCAGCACCGGAATTTTTCTGGTGCTAGACAATTGAACCCACTTTACCAGACGGCACGGTAATTTTTGCCTGAATTTCGCCTGAAAAATTCTGGAATTTTTTTCTCCGTGTAGATAACCAATATCATTTTTAGCTTTTAACATTACAATATTAATTGGAACTTCGTGAGACACGTGGAATTCACGGCGATAAGACTCCTTGACGCTATAAACTTCCCCGAGACCATCCTGTGAAAATAAAATGCGGAATTTGTAGAATTATCGCTTCCTGTAATATATTAAACAAATCGCTGATTCAAACGATCACTTACAAAAGATGGATTCTGAAAATTTTCCGTCGGCCTTTATCACTGTTACGCTAGCCTGTACCATTTGACCCTTACGATTGCTCTCTTTGCCTCTCCGGTACATAATCTACTATTTTCAATTTCCCGGCCCAAAGGGAGGAAGAAATTGTAATGACCCCACAGATCGGATGCGTGAATTTAATGATTTTTTCGCTTTTCCTTCCCCTTAGGAACTCTCCTGCGCTTTTTAGGGCCTGGTTTTTATGTGTCTCTCTCCAACAAATGGTGGAATTGGTTTTTTAGTTTCTTGACAAGGGACGTTATTCTAATTACAACGTAAATTGATGGTTTTTTCATCAAATTTCACATTCTCACTGACGTCTCCTTCATTTCGAGTCGAACTTCCATTGCAATTTGCACCTACGTAATTTCAACGTTTTTGAAGTGATTGATGACGAAATCGTTTGATTTACCACTGGATATCCTATTTTACTGAAGATGAAAGCAACGTGAAGTTGTTTTATATCGAAATATCTCGAAACTGCCTGACCGCTAATCCGCAATTTTGATTGGTCAATGAGTCACGTGAAGTAGTCGCTGAAAAAAATCCCCGGTATTTTCAAANTTCATTAAAACAAGGTGGGCGGTATTGGACGCATGCCGAGCGATATTACCCTCAAAGTTCGATTCCATCGCTCGCTGGCCGATGGCAATTGAATTATATAATTAAATATGTTAAATGTTAATACAAAAGCTGGCCTTTCCCATCTTCAAGTAAACACCTCGAAGACTGCTGGTAGAGAGCGGCGGTGAAAAAAACGACTCATTTCCCTTAGGTGGGTGGTACATGGCACCAGTTTCCCTATAACCTTGGCTAGGTATAACCCTTGCAAGGTACGATCCTTGCCATACTTGACCCTTGCGGCGTTCGACCCGCGCGAGGCGTGATTACTCATCATTCTATCCTTCCTGATATGATAAACATACAACATGAGTCAAATATAATTCCTTTCCTACTCAATTCTTTTCTGAAGACTTAGTCTCCTCTCCTTTTCTTGCAAGCGTTGGTTACTTAAATTTATAATGAGAAAATTCTGTCTTCTATTGGATTTGATAATTTTTTCATTTCAATCGAGGCTTATCACATATTCAAATTTTTCTCTACTGAATTCTAACAATTGGAAATAGAAGAAAAGGTAAGTGCAGATGTGCCCGGCAGTTGAAAAGTTACCATATCTACTAGACAAAAATAATTATTTTATGAAAGAGTAGAATAATTGGAGAATTAATTGAATGAATTAACCTCGGTGTCGCCTTGAATGAAATAACTGAATGAATTATTTCCCGAATTATTCAAAATCCAACATGAGCGTATTCTGCGTTTGGTAACAACTGGGCTTCATCCTTGAGATGTTGACAATTTTTTACACGGAGAGAAATGTACGAGAAAAATTACCGTGCCCGCACAGTAAAGTTGGTTCAGATGGTCTTTCCAGGCCAAATGTACCGCAAAGAGTAGGAAAAGTACTGTTGCACGAGTCATTTTTCGGATAAATGTGGGGAAAAATTCTTGTGCAGCACGGTAAAATCGAAGCGACAGTGAATTTTTACGAGAAATACGAGAAAAATTATGACACTGACTGGCAAATTTTTCCGGTGCTCTACCAGAATCCTAGGACCCGATCGCGCATTCGTAAGATTTCGGTACTCTTCGTCCCCCCTCCGCAACCACGAACATCGACTCAACGTGACCAGATGATTTATTCCGTCGCCTCCTCTAGCCTCCTCTCTCACATATCTCCTTACTGAAACCCCAGGTTAATGTTTTTCATAATATCAATTCAGTGAAATATTAATTAGTGTTGTGATAAAACGGTTAAGAAATAAAATAAGTGCCCTTTATTTTCGCTTCATGAGGTGTATAACGCTGTAGATATACATTGGCCTGTCAAACGTTCCACATACGTTTGCCGCGCATTCCGCTTTTAATATGGGAGAGAGGATATGGAGGAGAGGTTAAAATAAAATTAATAGGATGATATGCTGAATGACAATGTTTACTCATTTTTAACTATTGANCAAAAAATTTTTCTGCGTCATATTTTTCATTTTATCATGTGTGAAGTTTATCTTTATATCAAAACATATCTAAATTGCCTAATTGTTGATCATGAGAAAATAAACATAGTATTTCTAAATTTTTTTAACGCACAAATTATTCTTCACTTCCCAAATTTCAATTTTTTCATATTTATCATACGCAAAAATGATCAATTCTTGCTTCTCACATTTTCATACATAAATTCTAAACTCTACAAAATTCATGAAAATTCTTCGGTTTTCCAAATAATTCGGGAAAAATCTTTGAAGATCTATGGTTATCTGGAAAACTGTGAAATTTTCCGAAGAATTCAAGACATTTTTTCAGTTTTTCAGGAAATCAATTAATAACCCTCCTCTCATTTTTCAATAATTACAGATTTTAATCAGATTATTTTAAAAAGTAAAAAAAAAAGATTTAATCGAAAATTAAAAATTATTCATTGATGTTCCACTCTTCATTCTCTTAATTCTCTCTAAGTCATTATCAATATTTATAAAACATCTATGAGTATATGAAGTTTAATAAATTCGATGTCTTCATTTTCACAAAAAAAAGATGAGCGCGCGCGAAACCGCCCGCACAGATCTAGTATTAGAAGAAGTTGGAAGTATGAAGGCATATGTATCGGAAATACGATAATATACTATTAACTTTTCACATGGAGCTTGCAACTGTTTTGAAAATATTCTCCTAAAATTTTATTTTCAGACAGATAGCGATAACATTAAAAGTTATAGAAAACTCTGTCGATGTTGTACAAATTCTAATCATTTCCTTGAAGTTATTAAATTCACCTCGTAACTTTTTCAATGCGTGGTAAAGGACGAAATTTGATATCTTCCTACTACCTCGTCAAATTTTGTTGGCTAATGTATGTGAAGGACACCACAAGGAAACTCATCAAAGTGATAAAAATATCTGACGCAATTCGCCTATCGTCCATTTTTTACGCCCCTGCAAATTTTAATTTTTTAAATTTCAAACTTCATTAATTTTTACGGAAAAAAATTCAAGTATTTTTGTATCTCCATGGAGATACTCGAATTCTACGAAGATTTATAAACATTGAGATGAACAACAAGATTGATACAGAAATGCATTTTTCGAAAAATAATAGTTTTCCGCCAAAAGTAATGAGAATGAGTAATGAGAATGTGTAATGAACCATTTAATAATTCTACGATACTTTTTTGCCGATTTCAATTGAAAAATCCGCAGCTTTTTCGATCTTTTTTTTAGTAAGAGAATTAGGATACACGGAGAGAAATGTTGAGTAAATATTATGGAACGAGAAAATTTAAGTGGGGGTATCGCAATTTTTCACAGGAGATTCAGATGGAAATTACGGAACGCTCTGGAAAAATTCTGTGACAGTTCCGCAAATTTTCCCACAACCACATTTCCCTCCGGGATTACGGAAAAGATACGTAATTTTTATTGAATATTTCTCTCCGTGTAGGAAAATTGTTCATTGAAAAATTAAAAAAAAGGATTTCTCCACTCAATTGAAGCAGTTTCAGGATATCCTATTCTATTTTTCGAAGGGATATGATTTTTGGAAACTTTTTGGAGGTCAATCCCCTGAATCTTTCAGACGCAACAAGTGGATACATAAATTATCATTTTTCGAGGACTCGACTATGTATTTCATAGACATATTTGTGGACGTCCTCGTGGAGAGGGCCTACTTTGTTGATATAGATTTATGTATATATATTTCTGTAACGGGGATAACATTCCGGGTATTTTATGGGGAGACCGCGGTAACACCTCAAACCTTCGTTGGCGCAAAGGACGCATTGAGCAATTTCTTATATATGATGAGTTGTTTAAAAGTGGGAAAATGATTACTACAAACGATTTGCCCCCGGAATCAACGAAAAGCGTTTTTAGTTTTTACCTTTAAAATCATCCGAGTGCCTCGGTTGTCATCCGATTGACAATTTTTTTTCAAAATGTTCCTTAGGCTCCAAAAACGAAAGGTATGCATCCATTTAACGATTCAAAAAAATTGAAAAAAATTAAAAGTTGAGCCGAATCAAATTTCGATTCAATGAATACGGGAGCCAGGAAAAATTCCACAGGTGCTGCAATTTATTACATCTACAAAACACACACATTCGCAAATTTAAAAAAAAACTGTGCGACCATAAAGATCATTTCCGTGGTATGACATCACCTGAGATTTTCCCTATATATACTCAACCCGAAATCGAACTAGCATCAGTGCTTCGTCAATTTGCTTCGTTCATATAGAGCACCAGTTTCATAATATATTTCAAAGTGGTGGTAGATCAACTTGTATATTTCAATTATATCATCATCATTTTGTCCTTAAAATGTGGAAGAAAGAAATTCTTGTTTTATTTATCATACTCAGTGCTTATCAGGCCTCGGGTTTGATAGAAGACATGCTATCAATGGGTAAGAACCACAAGATTATATAATGCGGAACTCTGCATATCATTCATCGGCGTTGTGACATAATTAACTATTTCATTATACTGTCCGTAAAAGGGCGTTTCACGGACAGTAGGATGAAAATATATATTATGTGACTATAGGCACGATAAACTGCAATTCTAACCGCGCTTCATTCGGCTACACGGAGAGAAATGTCTACTCGTGCTTCGCACTCGTGATTTTTTAACCTGAAAAACTCTCTTTCGTTTGTTTGCAACGAACCTATCGGAAAATACCCGATAATTTTGAAGCTCTTGTGGTATTACAAGTGAATATTTCTCTCCGTGTAGATATCTTTTTTTGGGCCCGCTACATCAAATAGTTTGCATCGCACGGTGCGCAAATTATTTCCTGACGAATGCGATTGTAATCTGCGCACTCGACTCGGTTTATCACATTCGTCAGAAATTACTTTGTAAAGCTCATGATGAAATATACTATAATCTTCATGTGGTACACGGAGAGAAAAGTTGAATAAAAATTTTCTAGAAAATCGCGGCAAATTTTACCATACGAAAGATAATCATGCACTGTTCAAAATTGTCGTCTGAATTTTACATACCAAATTGCGGAAATTTCTATTATGTTTAAGTTCCACCGAAATTCCAGGAAATTTTGTCATTGAAACATCAAATATTCCGTTGATTTTCTATTCAAATGATCTGGAAATCAATAAAATACTTGATTTTTTTACACACCTGCACGGAAAGTTTGTACTTTGCTCCCTGATGAACAGGAGGAAAGTGAGTATTTCCCGCCCTAGGGTGGAAAGTACAATCTTTCCTTTGCAGGCGTGTTAAAAAAAATCACGTGCACCTCAGGCGGGGAAAACATGATTTTCCACACTTGGTGCACAATATACTATTTTACACTTGTGTCGAAATGTAGAGGAGAGTGAGGTTTAACGGACCACGTTCAATCGTCAATTTTTTTCTAAACAAATCATACAATTTGCATGGATTGAATCTCATTTGAAAAATAAAAAAATCTTGAAGATTTGAAAAAATTGAGAAATTTGAACTAGGGCATTATCGAATTATTGACTATTATACACTGTTAAAAATTTTCGCCTGAATTTTCCGTGCCAAATTCCGGAAATTTTTATCGTGTTCAAGTTTCACTAAAATTTCAGAACATCTTGTCATTGAAAAATCAAATAGTCCATTGATTTTCTGTTCAAATGATCTGAAAATCTATAAAATACTTGATTTTTCAGTTCAATTATTCTGTAAAAATTCAGAAAAATCAGGAAAATTCAGGGAAACGTTGAACATTCATGTCATTTCGTTTCTAAATATTCATGTTCCATTGAAAATTCAATCAAGTTGTAAATTTTCGATCTCATTCCCACCGTAAACTCATGAAGTTCCGTGAATTCTACTTAAAACTTGAAATTTCATAATCATTTTTTCCCTAAATTCAATTCAATGTCACTCTCATGAAATTTACTCTAACTTCTTCCGTGAAATTTCAAAAAATTTCTACTAGTGTATACTGTATTTTACCCCACTCTCCCCAGTAATTCTTACACATAGCTATATAGAGACAGTTCATATTAAATTCTTGGAAATTGCTTCCAGGGAAAACCCTGTGGAAGCTTGTGGGGAAGCTTCAAGACGTTCAGGACCATTTCGACGCTACTACAAGGGCTTGGGACACAATAGTCTTTAATCCTTCATCTGATGATAATACTGAACAACTTGAATTCATATCCAAACAAATCTCGGAATTTAAAACGTTCGCTACAACTCACTTCAATGAAATACAACGACTGTTAAAAGCGTTGCCAGGGAAAATTAAAATTGATGATTATGAAAAAGACTATAGAATTTATGTTGGTCGGATCGATGCCATGCATGCTGACCTCATGGATTTTCTCGAGGACAAAAAGGTATCAGAATGGAAAGAAGGAAAACACATAGAAGAGGAGGTGAGAAAGATACTTCCCGAATTGGCCATTATACTGGGTGCAAACGTAAACGGTGAAGGACTTATCAAATTCATTGCTGAACAAGAAGAGGTAAGTATTGCGTGAAAGATCATTGGAATATCATTCTTTATAAATCCTTAGAAACTCTGCTCACTCAGCGTCCAGGCAGCTCCAGCACCAGAACTCGTACTCGTCTAGCCCACTTTTATTAGATTTGTGGCTAATTGTTGATTGGATTGACGAAATGAACTATTCACTCTATTAAAAAATTTTGTCTGAATTTTCCGGCACATTTTTTGGAAATGATTATCGAATTTAATTACCACTGAAATTTCCAGGAATTTCGTCAGTGAGAATTCAGAATTTCGTGGAAAAATAAAAGAGAACTGTAGATTTCAGTTCCATTTTTCCCTGTAAATGAATAAAAAAACAGAAAATTCCGGCAAATATATTCTCGAATTTTCAAAACAGTGACACTGAATGCGAGTTAGGGGAAAAAAATCATAAAATTTCAGGTTCCACTAAAAATTTAGTAAAATTCTGGAGCGTTGGGAGAGCACCCGATCCATAATGGAAAGGTCGCGGGTTCAAATCCCGGTCTGGCCTATCCATTTTTTTCAGTAAAACTTCTGGTTATTCATATTAAGAATAATCCCGGTTCTCCCCCTACCTCATCCAAATCCCAGCCACTCATTTCCTATGACGTTACAAAGATGTGAAACACTATATAAATTCCCTTCTTTAATGTAAAAAAAACTGGAATTTTAATGAATTTTTAGTGAAACCTGAAATTTTGTGATTTCTTTTCCCCTAAATCGCATTCAGTGTGTCTGTCCTGAAAATTAGTAGTCAACTGGCCATGAAAGTTCATTTTTTTTTCCGACAGTGGAAACTCAATATAGTATTTTATAATTCCTGTTTAAACAGTTCACTTTTCGAGGCGGTTTAGCGGGTGTAAAGTGGTTGTTTGTCGGACTTCATGTGTAAAGTCGATTCTCGTGCGTTGAGCTACCTACGCCCTTCAACTTTACACACTTCGCGCTAAAACGGAACACTTGACTCCCACTGCACTCCCGAAATGTGAACTGGGCCGGTATTACAAAAACAGCAAGTGTTACACGTGAATAAAAACACAAACAGGGGTGGCGAGCATGGGACAACGAGCATATGATAGTGAGCATGTCACTGAGTGATGTCCCGAGTCGAATAATTGGACCTGACAAATTCTACTTAGGTCTCTCCGTTCAGAACTGGATAGGTCTTGGGAAGCCTCTTCCCAAGTGCTTCCGAGACCTTTCTACCTCTGGTTATGTCCCACTTCAGCACTTGTTAGGTGTAAGCAGGACTTGCATTCAGACTTTCCAAATCCTTGCCGGTCCCCGTAATTCTATGGGCCTATATTAAATCTGCGTTCATATCCCTATTTACTCATGCGTTATTGAAATAAAAAATGCAATTATTGTTTTTTTTTTAATCTCGAAAATCGACATTTCACGGGAGGGTGGAGGGGAGATGCATGTATGCGGAGGCTTGACATTTTTATCCAACAAGCGGAGAAGGTTGCAGAATCTATTCTAGCCACTCTTGCCCCTCCGCTTGCATGCATTGTCCAAATAAAAAAAGAAAGTGTTAACAAATCTGACCCTTGTTCCAAGTAAAAACCGAAAATCTGACCCTGTGGCCGCCGGTGAAATTTTTTTTTTTCAGTTTTCACTTTTTCCACATACTTTTGAGAGTTCTGAATAGTCCGTCGCTTAAATAGTTGGAATCAACGTT